GATTTGGTGAGTTCTGTTGCTGTGGACTTTTTACGTCTCGTTGCCGGAGTCGGAGTGAAATCGCCGGCGTAGAGATTCACATGGTGTAGAAATTGAGCTTCTGGGTATTACGATTTCTGATTTTTTTTCCAAGCTTATTCTAGGTTGAAACGAAGAGAAATAGTGAACGAGGGAGAGAGATTTCGCTTCTAATCGTTGGTTGAATCTCTCATGCTAAGGTAATTGATCATGGGTTTTTGCTAATTGGCCCCGATCGTTACTTGTTAAATCAGCTACCAAAAATGAGTGAATCATGAATGTTTCTATCTGTTTCAGCTTTGTTTAATCGTATAAGCTATTATCTGGAAATGGATAATCTCGCTTTATTCGTTTTCCTGATTCGTAATTCAAGTTGACATTTTTTTTTTTTTTTGGTTGGATTCGAAATAACACTGAGAAAGATTGAGATTCCAGATTTGATAATTTTGAGTTCTTAAAACAATTTTGTCTTTGTTGTTGATCTTTAAGATACAGAGTAAAGCATTTTGTTCTTGTTCATACTTTTGGCTACTGTAGAGAACGTGTGAGAATTTAAGTTTTGGTCTAATTCACATTTCTTTTACCTTTACATTTCAATGGTCACAACTTCAACTTTTTTCTTTCTTTTTTTCTCCATAATGATATTATATTTGGATCGTTACTCTGCTTTGTACTTGTTAAACATTTGTTATAACCTTGGAGTTTGGTATCATTTCAGGTGTTTTGGAACCTTGTTATCAGGAAGAACCTAGTGTTGATTTTGGAATAATTCATTTCCAGCCATGCCTTCTCTTCAGCTATTGCAGTTAACTGAGCGGGGACGAGGTCTTGTAGCTTCAAGACGGTAACAATTACTTTACTCTGGATTTGTCTTTAGAGGGAAACTTGTTGTTTTGCTTCTTCTCGTGTCTCTGTTTGCCGTGTTTACAGTATTTCTTTTGTTTCAACTCTCGTCCTCTGTCAAATTCTATAGGAAATCTATACTACTTGCGGCTGGGATCTTATCTGCTGGTGGAGCTGCTGTTTACTTGAAATCAAGGATCAGCTCTCGAAGGATTGATTCTTCGCGTCGTGGCAATGGTCACAATGATGATGATGAAGCATTGGAAAAGTTGACAGGAAATAATAAAAATGCAAAGACAACTCCAAAAAAGAAGAAAGGAGGAGGATTAAAGTCTCTTCAGGTTCTGACTGCTATTCTTCTGTCTCAGATGGGAAAAATGGGTGCCAGGGATCTTTTGGCACTAGTGGCCACTGTGGTATGCATTCCCTCTCAATTCGTAAAAGAAATTGTTATTCTTTTTGTCAATTTATGCATTTGTTTTGATGTTTTTGGCTAAGTCACATAGAATTCTGTGTACTGTGGATAAAAAATGACTTGATCTCTTTGTTGTTGGAAAGTCCTGTAGTTACGAACTGTTGCTTCATTGTTATTGATGCCTCTACTTTCCAGCTGAAAGAAACACCAAGCTAACTATATAGTCAAGAGCCAAGAAAAGTCTAATTATTTTCCTTATTCGTACGCGCCCGCCCAGTATTCTTTCCAATCGGTTATCTTACAAATTGCAGGTTTTCAAAACTGCTTTGAGCAATAGATTGGCGAAAGTACAGGGTTTCCTGTTCCGTGCTGCTTTCTTAAGGCGTGCTCCACTTTTTCTACGTCTTATCTCCGAGAATATTATATTGTGTTTTATGCTATCTACGATGCATGCTACATCAAAGTACATAACTGGGGCCTTGAGTTTGCGATTCAGGAAGATATTGACGAAACTAATCCATTCCCATTATTTTGAGGTAGCCCCTACCGTCTCTTCTGAATTGGAGGCAATTCAATTATTTACCATTTCTTATGCTAATATGTTTTTGACAAGTGAGCATATCGAGTATACTTCACACTGCTGGATAACACTTTAATCATCCTTTATTATTGTTTCAGAATATGGTATACTATAAAATATCACATGTGGATGGTCGGATTACGCATCCCGAGCAACGAATTGCCAGCGATGTACCAAGATTCTCCTCAGAGTTGAGTGAACTTATACAGGATGATTTGACAGCAGTTACTGATGGAATTGTGTATGCATGGCGCCTGTGTTCATATGCTAGTCCAAAATACATCTTCTGGATACTGGTGATTCTTCTTTAATCACCTATATTTTGCAAATTTACAATATTGACTTTACATTGGGTTTTTTTTTTTGCTGCTTTGCCTTACATCCATTCGCAGTACAATTCTCTCAATCTGCTATTTATGACTAACCAGTTCAGTTGCTGTGCAGGCATATGTACTGGGAGCTGGTACTGCAATAAGGAACTTTTCTCCTGCTTTTGGGAAATTGATGTCCAAAGAACAGCAGTTGGAAGGGGAGTACCGAAAACTTCATTCACGCTTAAGGACTCATTCGGAAAGCATAGCATTCTATGGTGGGGAAACCAGGGAAGAATCCCATATACAACAAAAGTTCAAGAATCTTGTTGGCCATATGAGTCATGTGCTTCATGATCACTGGTGGTTTGGCATGATCCAAGATTTCCTGCTGAAGTATCTTGGTGCCACAGTTGCAGTTATTCTAATTATCGAACCATTCTTCTCTGGGCATCTAAGACCTGATGACTCGACCTTAGGGAGAGCCGAGATGCTAAGCAATATAAGATATCACACCAGTGTCATTATATCTCTCTTTCAGGCGTTGGGAACACTTTCTATAAGCTCGAGGCGGCTCAACCGACTAAGGTAATGCTTTTCTTTGCATTTAAGTTCTCTACTAAGCAAAGTTGATCTTGTTTAGCATAAGCAAAGTAGTACAAGTTCAGTTGGTAGTCCCTAAAGAACATGGTCAAAGGATAAAAAAAATTCTGATTCAAGAAACATTCTTACTCGGCTTTTGATTTTGCGCTATTGATGATCATATGCGAGGACGAGAGGATTAATTAAACCTACTTTTACACCCATCAGTTGTTGTGACTATGCTTTCTAATTGTTGAAATGTTGTTGTTTCCAACAGTGGTTATGCTGACCGAATCCATGAGTTGATGGCTGTCTCGAGAGAACTCAGTGGTGATGATAAAACATCTTTCCAGAGAAATAGAAGCAAAAATTACCTAAGTGAAGCTAACTATGTTGAGTTTTCCGGTGTCAAGGTAGTTGGAACACAGACAGATTCATGTTGCTGTAAATTTTTTCCAAAATGTTGTGTACTTAATGTTACTTAATGGACTTCAGGTTGTTACTCCAACGGGAAATGTTTTGGTTGAGGATCTCACCCTTCGAGTCGAGCAAGGGTCTAATCTTCTGATTACAGGTGAACCCTTTATATTTAGGGAGGAACATAGTATGACTATCAATTTCCCTTTTCATGGCTTTTTTTTTGCACAGCATCATCAGTGGCAATATCTTCACGCCTATCTTAAATCTGTTTAATCAGCTGACAAATATTCTTAGACTGAGGCAAAAATAATTGATAGAATAGCGTATGCTGCTACTTTATTGTCCTGTGATCCTTGAGATGAGTAGCAAAGTTGAGAATTTTAGACCCCGTTTTTCGTTGTGAAGGAAATAAAAAAATGGGACTGTGAATTTGAAGTACTATTCTAGAAGATGTAATCTTTCTTGTAGTCCAGAGGGATAGCAATATAACTTTTGTCAAAATTAGATTTGATATGCCTACTTATAGACAAAGCATTCATGTCCAGTACAATGATTAGGGTGTTAGTTGAATGGTGTGGCAATGCACCATCTTCTGGGAATGATTTACGCTTGCCTGATATTATCGTTATTCCTATTTCATTATTTATTAAACAATATGTATCATAGGTCCTAATGGAAGTGGCAAGAGTTCCCTTTTCCGAGTATTAGGAGGTCTATGGCCCCTGGTGTCTGGGCATATTGTGAAGCCAGGAGTTGGTTCTGATCTTAACAAGGAGATATTCTACGTGCCGCAACGTCCCTATATGGCAGTAGGAACACTTCGTGACCAGTTAATATATCCTCTTACTTCTGATCAAGAGACTGAACCACTCACTGAGACTGGAATGGTGGAGCTATTGAAAAATGTTGGTATCCTAGTTTCTCTTTTCTATAGTAGGATGGTTTGTGTGGGTTAAGTTTGTTTTTGTCAAATTTTGTATGTTGGGCTTATTTTGTTGAGTTTTGCTTATAGGTTGATCTTGAATATTTATTGGATCGTTACCAACCGGACAAAGAGGTTAATTGGGGTGATGAATTATCCCTTGGAGAGCAACAAAGATTGGGGATGGCCAGACTATTCTACCACAAACCCAAATTTGCAATTCTTGATGAATGCACAAGTGCTGTGACAACTGATATGGAAGAACGTTTCGCCGCTAAGGTTCGAGCTATGGGAACTTCTTGC